GATCGTATGTTCACCCAAAATTTCAGCAACATTCCAACGTCTCCCACGTTTCGGGGAAAACTACGAAAAACTGGGCCTCCCGCCATGCTAGAGAAAAGCATGTACAGTAGGTGTCCTCGGACACTGCAGCCGTGAAATCTTCAACCCCACCATGCGAGAGAAAGGCGTGTATGGGTCTTCGATACCTGCTGCAAACGAGAAGCAGTTGTTTTCCCGCAAGTATAGAGCCGCGTAAGGGTACTTAAGATTGTCCCAACCACGCTAAGAAAAGCATGCACCGGGCTTACCCGCCTCGACGTAGGTGTTGCGCCGGGTTCCCTTCCCACCACGCTAGAGAAAAGCGTGTATGGGTGGTTTGTCAGCTCGACACGAACGTCGAGGATGGGATTTTGGGACCGAAGTTGCTTACATGTCTCATTGCAGGTGTCGCACCGAGTTCCCTCCTACCACGCTAGAGAAAAGCGTGTATAGGTGGTTGACCGGTTCGTCACATGCATCGAGGGCAAGCATGCTTAATTTATAGTTAATTATAAATTATCTATAATTAATTATATTTAATCACATAATTAATTATATTTAGTTCATAATTAATTATAAATAAATTGAATTTAAATTATAGTTAATCATAAAATAATTATAATTAACTATATTAAAATAAAATTACTTATATTTAATTTAAAAAATTAGTTATAAATTATTTAAATTTAATCAATAATTAATTAGAAATTAATTATAATTAATTACATTTTGATATATAATTAATTATATTTAATTTAAAATTACTTATAAATTAATTAGATTTAATTTATAATTAATTTTAAAAATTAATAATAATTAATTACATTTAATTTATAATTAACTCTATTCAATTTAAAATTAATTATAAACTAAAGTAATTAACTAATTGCAATTAAATTGAATTAATCATAATTAATTACCATTAATAGTAATTAATTATAATTAAATTAAATTAATTTTAATTAGGCTAATTGAGAAGGATTGGAATAGGATATAGGCTTAATCCTGATAACATGATTTAGGGGTTGTTTAGTAACATGATTTATGCAGGATTCGAGTAGGTTTTACACTAAATCTTGCCAAATGGAATTTAATCATCCCATAAATCTCACGGCAGAGTAACTCCTCTGTTGCCCTCTCCTCAGTTTGACGGCTTTATGGGATTTGGCCAAAGAAGCGAGTGAAAATGGGAAAGTTACCTTCACGACCACCAATCTCCCGTTATTGCTTCTGATAAAATGTCGTAACTTCCTATCTGATAGGAAGGCGGAGTCGTCAAAGGGGCAAAGTCGAACGGCAAGGATGGAGGTAGGCCGATTTCTCCCTCTCTCTCTCTCTCTCTCTCTCTCTCTCTCTTTCTCTAGGTTGAAGGAGTGGGGACGGCGCAGGGAAGAGTCGGCTAGGTAGGTCTTTAGTTTGGTCAGCCTCTATAGGTGCGGACAATCCCATCAACTTATCCATATTCTTTATACCGACAACAATTCTATTACCCACCACCCCCATAGTCATTTTTAGGTGGACCCAGCAGCGACCTGAGGGTACTTAATCATCGGTGACAAACGGTTGCATGCTTATAAAGCCTTAAAGCGACACGTAAGTAATGAATAGTTTGTTTTATTTTATTGATTTACTTATACTAATTTTAAAATTTATATTTTTTTAAAGATTTCATCCGTCAAGATAGCCAACATATAAGATATGAGACATCATACAAAGAAAATATGATACTCCATATATATCTTGGAAGAAAATACCCCAAGATGTTCAGGACATATGGTTCAGGGAGTTCGAGGTAAGTAAACAACTATATTAATAATCAACTTTCATTCTAATTGTTATCATCCAGAAATGTTAGGTCTTGTAATATCAAGCAGAGAGATTTCCACTAATTGCCCCAACACAATGACAAGATAAGAAAGAATTTTGAGAAGCACGGTTCGACTTGGGAGAGATATTTACAGATATAGAAAGTCAGGCGAGAGACCGCTTTGTATTGGCGAGGTGTGTGGGATTAGTTGAGTAGGACCTGAACCAGTGCAAAATATACTAGAAGGGAGCAAAATAAACAGAATAGAGCTTCGGATGTTGGGGCGATGGGCAACGCCCTCCATACAAGCGGCTCAGTTCCACACATTGAGCATTAGATGATATTTGGTATGAACTTATAGTTTATCTAAATATCAGACTTAAATATTTTGGTTGTTAAGCTAACTTTTCATATTATATTGTATAAAAAAGTGTTGGGTAAATAACTCACTGCTGTGGAGTTGCACACTTGCACCCACTAGCACCAGGAAAACTAATAGTGAGTGAATCAAATTGTTATACATATCTTATATATTTCAGGAGGACTATACAACAACTTCGAGAAAATCAGACTAGAGCTGGTGAGGGATATTTTGTAGGATCGACGGATTATTCGGACTATAGTACATGGTCACAGGCAATGGGAGGAATGCAGAAGGGACAGTCGTCAACGTATCAGAATACTCAAATAGCAGGTAGGAGTTAGATAGCCAAAAAGGTGGCTGTCCTGATATAAGAGCTAGAGTAAGTGCGAAAATTGAAAGCTGATATGCAAACGCAGCAAAGCCAAATGCAGGATCAGCTGTGCAGATGTTAGGAACACTTTCGTGCTCAGCAAGCTTCAGATGACAAGAGTGAGGGCATAGAAAAGGTTTAGAGTTAGTTTTAGAGAGTCTTCTACTAGATGTTTGTATTTTATTGTTGGTTTGATGTAATGTTTCAAAAATGATGTATTTTAACACTCTTTTAATGCATTTAGAATAATGCATTTTTAGGATTTATGTGTATTTATTTTACTAATTGGTTCCATTTTTGTATGATGAATTATTTGTGGGTTATATAGAATTTATATGTAGTGCTTTTTTTTTTATCTACTAGTTTCTAGTGGATATACTGCTAGAAATCATAACGATATGATTTTCAATGGGGCGAATGATGATGACAATCTTTCGACCTTAGCGGCTGTCCATAATTCCGACCAAAACATTCCGCCAAAATTTCCACCGATAATTCCAAAAGTTCCAATGGAAAGTTCCACCAGAACTTCCGCTAGTAAGGCCAATGAAAATTTCCACTGCATGCCACCGAAAATCCTGACATTTCTGACAGTTCCACTCAACCAAAATATTCAAAGAATCTACGAAATCTGTCGATAATATTTCAAACGGAAATTAAGCTGCCAGAATTTGTTTTCCTATGGGTTTATTTGCGTCGAATTCATTTCCGCCAAAAATCAACAATATTGATGAAAATTCTATGATTTTCAATGAATTGTTCGGTCAAAAATTACACATTTTCATTTTGTGAAATAGCGAAATCAAGGTGATTTTCATTTTAAAAATAATGAATTCACCTAAAAAAATATTGAATAATTTTAAGAACTTTCATTTTTAAAACCAAAAATAATTAAAAACACAAACAAGCATTTATTTTAAAACAAAAAATAAGGAATAATTAATTCCAAATAGAGCCTATGTAATTTCTAGGTTATCCATTGATCCTATTAAGACGATGAAATTGTGCACTAAGCTTCCTTAGAGCTATTACAACTTAAATTGAATCTCAAGGACAAATTAAAATAAAAAACTAACAAGTACGAATGAAGATTCCAATAAGAATAACTTAGTGAGTATATTTAGGAGCTTGAGTATTTTGAATGAGTTTGTGGTTTACCTAAAACTCATAAGAAAGATAAATACACCATTAATATTTGAAGCCTAAAAAGCAAATTTCTTTTAGTGGAAAAGATAATGGTAGAATTATAAAAATTTTATAAATGCATTGCCTAACATCGGGTGAAACTTTACATAGATTAGGGCATACTTATTAATGGTGGATGGTGCACCATGGCACAAAGTTCCAGTTAGAGCCATGGTGCATAGCGCACGATGCAGCGCAAGCCATTTTAAATATAGAGCACAATATAAAATAATTTTAAACAAAAAACTATTAATATAAAATATTATTTAAAAACAATAGACTAATTTGAGCAAGACTTAAGCATAAATATCCTTTCAAACAACAAAAATAACAACTTTAAATCTAATAGAAACTTACATCGATATATTTGAGCAGCATTTAAACATAATTTAGCATAAATCCTTTCAAACGGCAAAAAAGAAAGCTTCAAATCCTATAGAAGTTAAAGCTTGTTCCTTTCCCATTTTATTTTAACATAATTTAGGCAAACATTTTTGTAAATGGGATGAATGATCGTTACCTTCGTAGCGATGACCCACGCGAAACTTAGAATTAGACACGAATATCATCATAGAAGGAAGAAAGGAAGCTTTCTTGAGTGACTCTTTCAAAACTCTAGGGAAAAAGCGATCGTTACCTTTGCTATGAGCCCCCCACCCCACCCCACCCCACCCCAAAAAAATAGGTACACCATTAAATTTCGTAAGCCGAAAAAGCAAATTTCTTTTAGTGGAAAAGATAATGGTAGAATTATAAAAACTTTATACATGCATTGCCTAACATCCTGTGTAACTTTACATAGACCCCCCCCCACCACTTTCAATTAGATAGGAATATCATCTTTGAAGGAAGCAAGGAAGCTTTCTTGAGTGACTCTTTCAAAACCCTAAGGGAAAAGCGATCGTTACCTTTGTTGTGAGTCCTAATCTATGTAAAGCTTTCTTAAGTGACTCTTTCAAAACACAGATGGTTAGTATGCCTTAATAAGGAAGAACTTGTGTAGAAGTAAACCACTTACTAGGGTAGAAGTTACATTTCTAATGTTGTAAAATGCGAATGCGACTTATGAATATGGATAAAAACAGAGATTTTTATCAGAAATTGTCCTGCCCTTCCAATAGAGGAATAAGAGAATTCATAGATCTCCAGCTTTTACAAAAGCCATAGCTTTTACAAAAGCCATGGCTTTTTATACGTGGATTAAGAAAATGAACATTTATCATGGATTAAGAAGGATAACGAGTCTTTCAAGATACCTGGATTGATGTTAGAATTGCAGCTACATCATATATAGGGCTCCACTGATTCTGCAAAATATCCAAACAGATACTTCCATCTGCATAAACTATAAATTAAAATAATAAAAACATAAGATTAAGAAATTTACAAACAATATAAAATAACGTATTGCAACAAAACAAGCATATGACAGAAAAAATCAAAAAAAAAAAAAACAAGAAATTCAATTTACCGTGCAAAAAATCAGGAGACATTCAACACTGTATCGGTTAAAAATAAGAAATGCTTTGCTTGATTTCTTATTAGTTTCTTTTGAGAGTTTATATATACAGCAACAACATTATCCAAAACTGAGTGATATTAGCATCAGCTCAAAAGCTCCTCCGCTGACATAAAACCTCAGCCATCTTAATTAAGGCAGAAAGCCCTATTAGCTCCAAGGCTAAAACTCTTAAGGGACAAGTGTGCTGACACACACGCCTTAATAAGGAAGCTATTTCTAAAAAGTATGCTGCAAATGAAATGTATTGACATGGTTTTAAGAACTCACATTGACATTATCAGCATATCCAAAACAAATTCCAATGTGTACAAGATGAAGTAAGAAAATATTGGATGAATAATATCACAATTCATTACATAAATCAAGGAAAAATGATAAATAACAACATAAATATAACATGGCATCAAACATAAACGATTATTAATCATGCCACTCCAAATATCACAAATGAAATAGAACACCTCTAGTTTGTATGAAAGGATTCTAAAGAGTAACATGAAATTTGAAGGAAATGGATTAACACCATGATAATAAAACTTTTTAATCAGCATAGAGCCAATGACTCTAGATGAAAATCTTTGTTAAAAAAAAAAATTTAGAAAAAGTTGAATGGGTTTTAGCTAATTTCTGGACACTAAGAATGCTTGATTGTGGCCTAGTGCCATGGTCTGGTCACTACCAAGCTAATTCAAGATGCTTGCCTTTTTAATTGATTGATCTCCTAGAGAGATGCACAGCAGTTGGTTTACCCCACTTTAATCAGGCACCTGAGATTGAACACACTGGCCCCTCAATAAATTAGGATTGTACATGCTATTATTTGTATTTTCCATTGTATATGTCAGAATATTAACGGTTATGAGTGAATAACATTTTTTTTCCTATAAACTATTCTTTGTTACATTATGTTGAAGGCCTAGACAACTACGCTTCAAAATTTATGTAGGAAGGTCATAGACTCTAATCTCCTTCCAGCCCCCTCCACTTCCCCCCACCTCAATAACCTAGCCCAATCCCAACACACGTTCAGAATCTCTTTTTCAACAAAATGTATGTGTTATTTGTACGTCTGGTCTCAAAATCTTGGATCTTTCGATTATTGTAAAAAAATTTCTGGCTTGTCACTGGTATTATACAATAACCCATCATTCTCTCCTTCTTTACATGGCTGCATATGAAGAAATATTATTATAATTTTGCTGTACAGTGGTAACTCAATGAAACTTTGATCTTTTTTAGAAACTTTTAGATGCTTACCGTGGTCCATGGTTTAGGATTTCCATAATCCACTTGTAAGGAAAGTAATAGATATACGAAATCTATTAGAGCACTTAAAGTGCCATAGTATTTGTCTTCTATGCAAATTATTTTACAAAGGCAAGTACTTTGTCAACTCATTTATTCTGGTGTTAGATGCCTCATATGGGCTTTGTTAGTAAAATACTGCATGTTTGTTAAATGGATATTGATGCATACATGTATTATATGAATTTTATTATAGAATTAAGAAAAAATATGGATTTGTTCAATTTAAATTAAAAAAATAATTTAATTAAAATTCATTTTTTATATGCCAACATGAGGCATCAGAGAAATAACACGACTAGAAATTATAATTTCATATGTTTTCTAGCTGGAGATTAGGCCTGCGATTTATGTTAAATGGTATTTAACTACACTATTTTCAGATTGTTGCGGTATGTTCTTTTTAAATATAATTTGGGAGCTGATTTCGTTATCACCTTTTTATCTTGTTTAATTTGCATGTCTTCTGTCTTCTTTATTTGGCATAGAGGACAACACGTGAATTTGACCCTTGTTCTGATTTATCTTCTTGTTAGTCTTATTTCTTAAAGGATACATCTTGAAGGAGTTTTAATTGGAGGATATTTAAATGGATGTGTTGGTAGAGTGGTAAAAATTTTTAAAGCATTCATGATGGCTATGAATTTGTAGTGACTAATAAAGTTGATAGGATCATATTAGATTTTGCTCTAGCTTATGATTTTGTAATTGTTAATATCTTATTTAAGAAAAGAGAGAATCATCTCATCACTTATAAGAATGGATATAGTAAAACTCAGATTAATTACTTTCTTATAAAAAATAGATCTTTTAGATTACAAAGACTACAAAGTTTATGAGTGACAGTTTGTGTACCCAATATTGCTTATTAGTTTTGAACTTTTAGATGAAGTGGATAAAATATGAAAATTAAAAAGTAAAATATTGTCCTGTGATTAGATGGAGGCATTTAAATAACACTTATAAAAATATTTTTGAGAGTAAGATTCAAGATCATAAGATTTTAACTGTGCAAGAGGAGACTAATTTTATTTGGGAAAAAATAACTACTAATATTAAGAGCATTATAAACAATATGATTCGAGTGTCGAAAGGAAAATATTCTAATACTAAAAATAATTCATTGTGAAATGCAAAAAAATCAAAAATAAAAAGCTTTCTTACAAAAAATTTAATTTGATTTTTAATGATTTATACACTAGATTAGACACTAAGGAGAGCAAAAGATATATATATATATATAGCAAAGAGAAAAGATAAGTATTTAGTTTAAGTGAAGTAAATTAAAGATGAAAATTAAAATTATGTTTATTAGAATAAGATATTCAACAGAAATGGATGAGATATTTCAATATTTTTTTCAAAAAACGATTGTGCGAATACAATTGATTTTAGTGGCCTTAGCATATTAAATGAAAATATATATTTTTGTCTTTACTACCGCATTAGTAAAACCGAAGTTAGAGAAGCTTTACAGAAAATAAAGTGTGGAAAAGTTGTTGAACTTGAAAATTTATTCCATTATAGGTATGGAAATGTCTAGGAGATGAAAGAATGTCTTGGCTTACAAAACATTTCAATATTATTTCGAGGACAAAAGATGTCGGATGAGTGGAGTATGTTGATTCACATTTTTAAGAATAAAAATGATATACATGAGTGTACGAATTATAGAGGAATTAAGTTAATGTGTCATATATTAAAACTATGGGAAAGTGTTATTGAGGATAGGTTATGATGTGATACAAATGTTTCTTAAAATCAATTTGGATTCATGCCCAATGGGTCTACTATGGAAGTTACAAATTTATTGAGAGGTTTGATGGAGAAGCATAGAGAGAATAAAGAGGATCTACATATGATAATTATTAATTAGAAAAAGCGTATGATAAAATTTCAAGAAAAATGCTATGGAGAATTCTAGAAAAGAAATGAGTTGTTAATGCTTATATTCAAGTCATTAAGGATATGTATGTCGGAGCTATTAATTGTGTTCGAACATAACTTGGTTTGACCAAGTATTTTCCTATTTCTGTTGGATTACATTAAGGATCAGCTTCAAGCCCATACTTTTGTACTTAAGTGCTGAACATTCTTAGGAGACATTTGTAAGAGGACATACCCTGGTGTATGCTTTTGGATGATGATATTCTTCTTGTTGATAAGATTATATATAGAGTTGAAGGAAAACTTGAGTTATGGATGTCAACCTAAGAGTCTAAAGATTTTCATTTGAGCAGATCTAAAATTGAATAAATTGAGTTAATTTTAATAGTAATAGATCTATAGGGGGATTATGACTTTGAGTGATCAAATTATTAAAAAAAAATACATATTTTAAATACCTGGGGTATATTGTTCAATGTAATGGTGAATTAGATGGGGATATTATTAGCAAAATTCAATTTGGATGATTGAAGTGGAGGAATGCATTAGGTCTATCATGTGAAAGAAAAGTACCTGTCAAAGTTGAGGGAAAGGAAAATTCTATAAGATGGTAGTGAGAGCTACAATGTTTTATGGCATAAAAAGTTGGCCATTTAAAGAGAAGCATGAACTTAAGTTAAATGTTGCACAAATGATGATGCACAAGTGGATGAGTGGCTTCACTCTTAGAGATACGATGTAAAATGAGTATATACCTAAAAATTTTGGAGTAGCTCTAGTGACAGATAAGATTAAAGAGTAGTCTTAGATGGTTTGGTCACATAAAAGGTTAGCTACCAATGACCTAGTTAAGAGAGTAAATGATGGGGACATCGGAGCTTGGAAAGTCTATCAGAGATGTGGCCGTCGATCTATGGCCACTATTGAGTCCATGTATTTCTGAGTCGTATTATGTATTTGTCTTTTATTATATTATGTTGTATTTGTTTTGTTATTTTTTTCACTTTTACCCCTTAATTAAGGGAAGTCATGTGTAAGCCCAAAGGGCATAGTCATCTTTTATGTTCGAGTCTTTTGTATGAGGATATATATAGCCCTTGTGTTCTCTTTTCATGTTTAATGAATGAATGATAAAAATTTCCCCTATGTTTGAGTTCTTGTGAGAGCTTGAGAGAGATTGGAGTGAAGTCTCTTGGAGAGGGAATGGGATCACCCACCAACCTTGGAAGTGTTCGGGTTCGTGGTTCTTTCTTCTCTATCTTCTTCTCCCCTCTTACCTCCCTCAACTAGCCGCCGGACTAGAAGCTCCCCACCCCCTTAAGCCGCTGGCCACCATAAACTCACTCACACCGTCAGTTAAGCCCCAACACCACTCCCACCCGCACCTACCCCTCCTTTTTCCCCCACTACCACCCACGGCCAAACCACAAGTCGCCAGCCCACCTTTGGCCTTTCCCTCCTTTTCCCTTATTTCCTAATATAAATTGCATATAATTAGGATTAATTTGAATTCAAATCCAAGTGATTTGAAATTCAAAATCTTTCCTACAATACGGAATCTATTTTAGGAAAGTATTTAAATCTCATCCTAAATCAATCTTTAATTGAATGAGATTTAATTTCTCTTACCCAATTTAAAATTCCCTATTAAGCAAGCCATAAGCACTTGCCTTAAACCCCATCCCACTCCATTAAAGCTGCCGGCCCCTATTGAATTCTCCATGGGATTTCTTTCCTAAATCCAAATTGCTCTCTTGGAAATATTTCAAACCACCTCTCCCTCTCACCTTGGCCGAAATCTCCACAAGCCCCACCTATTTAATTTCTTTCCAAAGGCCATCTCTCCTCTTTGGAATTAAATTAAATCCCCTCCCTCGCTCTTGCCGCCGCCCCTCTCTCTTTCTTCCTTTCTTAATTTTTCCCAATCAAAGAGATTAATTAGGAAGTGGCTTGAATCACTTTCCCTCCACAAAATCTGAACTAAATTTAATTCCACCTACCCTCCTTCATTGGCCGGACACCCTCCTCTCCTTCTCAAATTAAAATCTAGAGAGAAACTTACTTCTCCCTAGAGAAGTCTCCAAAGGAATCAACTACGATCCTCGTCTACACATCAACCCTTCGACACCTATGAATGGTCGATCTGGAACTTGACTACGAATTCGCTTACGCGAGCAAGGAAACGTCAACATCCTCCACTCCACCTTCTTCGACTTCAACCCGGAAGTTGATAATTCCATTGAAGAGTACGTGGACCACATCATCTTCACGCTTTCAGAGGCTATCGACGTGCAACTTGCCAACATTCAGTGGCAAATTGTTTCCGGACCAACCCAAGGGTGAACTTCTTCATCTTTTCACTTATTTTCCTAATCCTCCACTCCTGTAGGAGGTGATCAATTCGCAAGGAATCATACTTTGCCTCCTGCCTCCGCTTAGTAAACGTAGGATTGAGTGTACTTTCTATGTTGCTATCTTAATGTTATATTAGGGATTTTTGTTGGATGACTACTTAATTCGCATGTTGTTCAAATTCTACATTGTTTTGATAATTCAAGTGCTTAGTATGTGATTTGGCCTAAGCGTCGTGACCACTCTTAAGTTTTTTATTCTTGCTTAAATAGCAAATAGTCTTAATTGTTCTTTGTTCCTTTCAAAATCATACAAGTTCTTATCGCATTCATTTAAAAGCGTTGTAGTCCTACATCAGTAAATGTATTAGATTTGGCCATTTTAAGAAAGATAGAAATAAACCTAAAAAGACAGTTATAAAATATAAGAAACGATCTTTTTTAATTAGATTTAAATAAGAATTTGACTCTTAATAGAACACAATGGAGAAAAAGAATTCATGTAGCCGACCCTGTGTAGTAGGATAAAGGCTTCATCTTGTGTTATTGTTGTTGCTGAAAAAAATGCATCAACTGTTTTTATTATTACCATTCTTTTGAACTTTTTTGTGCACATTTATCTTGTCCACTTTTTTAATATGAAGTTTGTAGTGTGCAAGTAATAATTTGATTTTAAAATGGTATAATATGATTCATTATTCGCTATACTTATTATGGCTTGTTTATGGTGAAAGAAATTTTGTATTGTTTCTAATTAATAAATATGCCCTGAATTCATCCCGTGCATATACTTTTTCTTGTAGTATTGCATCAAAACTCTACATGTCATATGCTCTATATTCTAAAACATTACTTCCAGATATGGACAACATGGATCTTGAGTTTAGAGCTGGATATGTTTATATAACACTAAATGCTCATCTGGTTTTCTTTATACTAAGCTTATGGAACCTTATAGAAATATTTGCATCTCATCTCTCTGATAGGAAATACTTGAGTTCGCAAGTAATCCTAATCCCAACCAGTGAAAATCTAACAGCGAAACTGCTGTCCACAGCAGTTTAACAGCAGGAAACACAGAAAAATCTGAGAGAAAAGCAGTAGAACTCGTAGGGAAACAAAGCAAACACTTTTATTTTAATAGAAGATGAAAAACACTTGCAAGATACAACTTTCCTTCAATTCGAGAGGAAGGAAAAACTCTCCAACGAACTCCGGCAAAGCTAAGAGCCCAAGAACACCAAACCCTAGATCTCAAAATAATTCAAATTCAAGATGATGGCCAATTATCGCCATAACTCCTCATTAAAGACAAAGGACAATTACAAAATACCTAAAACAGCCCCTCATTCAAAAATTTCCCTCCCAAAATTGCATTAACCCCAAGTGGGGACCAAAGGGGGTTCCGCCCCCCTTGCCGTTTCCGCCCCAGGCTTCCGCCTGGAGTAAACTTGGACCGGTCCCTGTTGGACCCGTCCAGTCGGCCCTTCCTGGGCCGGCCTAACAGTACTCCTCTCCCAAAAATTCACCTTGTCCTCAAGGTGAAATTTGGGGAACTGTTGCTTCACAATTTCATAAGGCTCCCAAGTGGCTTCGTAATCGGGAAGATCCTTCCATTTAATCAATACCTCCTTATTTCCCTTTTTATCAACCCTTACTCCTTGCAGCTCCATAGGTTCCATGACTACCTCCAACTCGTCTGTCAAAGATGCTGGTAGTTCCGCACTAGCTACCTGTTCCCCTAACGCTCTCCTCAGCTGTGACACATGGAACATCGGGTGTATAGTAGCGGAAGAGGGCAACTTCAGACAATACGTCACTGCTCCGATCTTGTCCAACAATTCGTAGGGGCCAAAATATCTTGGCGTCAATTTCTCATTCCTTCTTCTCCCTACTGTCCTTTGCCTGTAGGGTCGTAGTTTTAGGAATACCTTCTCTCCCACTTCAAACTAAAGGTCTCTCCTGTGTGAATCCGCCTGCTTCTTCATGATTTGTTAGGCCCTCATCAGATGCTTCTTTAATTCTTCCAGCACCTTGTCCCTTTCCTCCAGGTACTGCTCAACTGTCGAGACCGGTGTACTTCCTTTCCAGTAGTGCACTAAGTGTGGGGGATCCCTTCCATACAACACTCTAAATGGGGTCATCTGAGAGGTAGAATGGTAAGACGTATTGTACCAGTATTCAGCCCAAGGCAGCCATTTTGCCCACATCCGCGGTGTTTCTGAAGCAAAACACCTCAAGTAGGTCTCCAAACTTCGGTTCACCACCTCCTTTTGCCCATCGGTCTGTGGATGGTAGGCGGTGCTTCTCTTTAGGACCGTGCCTTGCATTCTGAACAACTCTCTCCAAAACTGGCTGAGGAACACTTTGTCTCGATCAGACACAATAGATTCAGGGACCCCATGCAGTCTGACCACCTCCCTGATAAATGCCGCCGCCATTGACACCACAGTGTAAGGATGCCGTAAGAGAATGAAGTGTGCATATTTGCTGAGTCTGTCCACCACCACCAGAATGACCGTGAATCCTTCTGACCTGGGTAAGCCATCGATGAAATCCATGGACACTTCCTCCCAAACTCTGTTTGGAAGTGTCAATGGTTGTAGTAAACCTCCTGGAGCCATGACCATGTATTTGTTTCTTTGGCAAACCTAAAAACCCGCCACCATCTCCTCCACATCTTTATGCATCCCCTTACAGTAGAGTTCCGCTGCCAGCCTCCTGTATGTCTTCTGAATTCCTGAGTGACCTCCAACTAAGATTCCTTGAAATTCCTGCAACAGGTGGGGGGTGTGTATGGAAGTTCGTGGCATCACGAACCTCCCCTGATACAATAGTCTCCCCCCTTCAATGTAGTAACCAGGATGACTACTCTTGTCTTTCTCCAGATCCTCTTTGATCTTCCTCAGCTCCTCGTTCAGCATACTTTCTTCTTTGATGGCCCCTCAGTCTACTATCAATGGCGCCGACACAACCAACTCCTGAATCTCCCCAACGCATCTGGATAAAGCATCGGCCGCCTTGTTCTCCAAACCAGGCTTATATTGGATCTCAAAATCATAGCCTAATAGTTTGGATAACCACCTTTGATGCTCTTCGGTCACCATCCTTTACTCTAACAAATACTTCAAGCTCCTCTGATCAGTCCGTACGATGAAGTGTCTTCCCAAGAGATACGGCCGCCACTTTTGAATTGCCAAGACAATGGCCATCAGCTCTCTTTCATACACTGACTTCAATCTAGCTCTGGCTGAAAACACTTGACTGAAGTATGCTACTGGCCTGTGATTCTGCATCAACACTGCCCCTAGCCCATATCCTGATGCATCTGTCTCTACTACAAAAACCTGATCAAAGTCTAGAAGAGCTAGAACAGGAACAGTCGTCATGGCTTCCTTCAACCTCTCGAACGCCTGGGTGGCTGCCTCTCCCCAGCAAAAATTATCCTTCTTCAGCTGCTCAGTCAAAGGCCAGGCAATGGTACTGCATCCCTTCACGAACTTCCTATAGTATCCAGTCAATCCTAGAGAACCCCTCAATTCCCTGAGGTTCCTAAGTAGCGGTCATTTCTGCATTGCCTCAATTTTAGTTTGATCCGCTGCCACTCCTTGTGACACCACATGTCCCAAGTATTTCACACTTGCCTGAGCAAAGCTGCACTTCTTCAGGTTGGCTTTCAACTGGTGCTCCTAAAGCACTTCCAATACCACCCTCAGATGTTCCAAGTGCTCTTCCATAGTCCTGCTGTACACCAGGATGTCATCAAAAAAGACCAGGACAAACATCCTGAGGTGCTGCTTGAATACCCGATTCATCAAGGATTGAAAGGTTGCAAGAGCATTAATCAATACAAAGGGCATTACCAGAAATTCATAATGCCCTTCATGTGTCCTGAACGTCGTCTTTGGAACATCTGCCTCCATCATTCTGATCTGGTGGTATCCGGATTTCAAATCCAGCTTCGAAAACATCACTGCACCATGTAGCTCGTCCAGCAGCTCATCAATCACCGGAATTGGAAACTTGTCTGGTATAGTGCATTTATTCAGAGCCCTGTAATCCACACAAAATCTCCAACTCTCATCCTTCTTCTTGACCAGGAGGACTGGACTAGAAAAAGGGTTGTTGCTGGGTCAGATAATCTCCGTCTCCAACATTTCCCGGATCAGCTTTTCAATCTCATTTTTTTGAATCTGTGGGTAGTGATAAGGACGGACACTGATCGGAGTCTCACCTTCTTTCAAAGTAATGGCATGCTCCAACTCTCTCTGAGGAGGTAAACCCTGGGGCGGTTGAAAAACCTCGCTGAACTGGTGTATGAGCGACTGTACTATAGCGGGAACATTTCCTTCCTCCTCCAATCTGACCCCTTTCAGGCGGTGCAACTCTACTAAGTAGCCTTCCCCCTCTTCCTGAATGGTTCTGATGAGGGATTTGAGAGAAACCCCCGCCTTGGTTAGTCCGTAATCACCCTGAATCGTCCTCTTTCTGCCCCCAACTACCAACTCCATCCTCAGTGTACCCAAATTGATTTTGGTCTCTCCCAATGTCTGCAGCCATTTCATCCCAAGGATGACATCCGTACTCCCCAATTCTAAGAGAAGGAAGTCTTCCTTTACATAGATTCCTTGAATCTTCAGTACTACTCCTCGACAGACTCCTCGTCCCATCTCTACCTTCCCGGTGCCCATCATTACCCCGTAACCTCTGGTATCCACTAGCTCCATCCCCAATGCATCAACAATCTGGGTGGAAATGAAATTGTGTGTTGCTCCACTATCTATCAACACCACCACCTCACAGTCAGAGATCTCTCCTTTCACCTTCATAGTGTGACTCGAAGTGAATCCCACTACTGAGTTCAAAGAGACTTCTGCTACGTCCAGATGCAACTTCTCCTCCTCCACCTCGGGGTCATTCCCACCTCCCTCTTCGTCTTCCTCGTCTTCACAGACGAGGAGAACCTGAAGAGATCGGTCCTTGCATCTATGCCCCGCCATGTACTTCTCATCACACCGGAAGCACACCCCTTTTGCCCTTTTTTCCTGCAGCTCGTTCTCGATCAGCTTTTTGAACTGCCCGCCGTTACCGCCTCCTCCCATCTTCTCCTTGGGTGCTTCCTTCATGCTCCCAGGGCCTGCCCCTTTTGCTGGTAAGAATGTGGTCGTCGTCCTGTACAACCCCCCTGAATAGTTTCCCCGAGTCCCTCTTTCAAACTTTTTTTGGTCCTCCACCAACTGGGCCAACTCCATGGCCTTGCCTAGATTCCTTGGCTCTAACACTCTAACTGTTGTTCTTATCTCTGGTTTCAGCCCTTTCATGAAATTCCCTTCCAGGGCTGACTCCGAGATATGATCCAGCCTGCTAGCCAGATACTCAAACTTGTCCCTGAAGTCTGCCACGGTCCCCTCCTGAGTCAGAGCAAAGAATTGCTCATAGATGTCTCCTCCATCATCGGCTCGGAAACGCTCCAATAAACAATCCTTGAACTCTCTCCAACTGCGAATGGGCTCCCTCATGTCACGCCACTGATACCATGCTAAGGCTTTTCCCTCCAAGCGCATTCCTGCCGCTGTCAATTTCTCCTCCTCTGTCAGCCCATTGACAGCAAAATATCGCTCCACCTTATAGATTCAACCATGGCTGTCTTCACCCTCGAAGACAGGCATCTTCAGCTTCCTCACCCTTGGATCTCCTCCATTACCCCGGTACCCTCCATAACCCCCCATTCCTCGAAGAGGAGGTGCTCCGCAAGTGTCCCGGTCATCCCTACGGCGATGGTATTCGAATTCGTCGTCATATTCCTCTCTTCCCCTTACAAAACCAGCACCTCGACGCTAAAATTCAGCACCTCGACGCTGAAATTCCTCTCTTCTTCTGCCAAAATATGCACTTTCGTCATATTCCCCTCTCCTCCCTTCCATTTCAGCACCTCGACGCTGAAATTCAGCACCTCGGCGCTGAAATTCCTCTCTTCTTCCGCCAAAATCAGCACCTCTTCGATCGTTTCCCATGCTCATCTCCTCTCTAGAAAGTGGCTCTAGAGGCGGCATGTCGTCATCTCCCTCAAGGATCTCTACTTCCGGATTTCTCCTCCCCCTAAGCGGGTTCGGATTCCCTCCTACGCCATGGTCTCGGTAGTCCCTCTTGCTTCCGACGTCGTCGGATTAGTCTTCATCTCAAGTACTTTCTTCATCATTTCTTCCATTGCCATGAACATTCCCTCCAACCTTTCATTGTTGGTGGTGATTTGATTTTGAAAATCGAAAAATCTTGCCTCAAAATCAGTTTTCAATTGACCGACTTCGCCTTCCAAGATGTCTACCTTCTTTCCGGCCATCGTTCTTCCCAACGGATCACAAACAATCGCTTCCATAAGCCCAAAAGTTCGCTGAAAAATCTGATTTCAGCCGTCAAAAGTCCGCAAATCGAAGCTCTGATACCAATTTGATAGGAAATACTTGAGTTCGCAAGTAATCCTAATCCCAACTAGTGAAAATCTACCAGCGAAACTGCTGTCCACAGCAATTTAACAGCAGGAAACACAGAAAAAATCTGAGAGAAAAGCAGTAGAACTCGTAGGGAAACGAAGCAAACACTTTTATTTCAATAGAAGATGAAAAGCACTTGCAAGATACAACTTTCCTTCAATTCGAGAGGAAGGAAAAACTCTCCAACGATCTCCGGCAAAGCCAAGAGCCCAAGAACACCAAACCCTAGATCTCAAAATAATTCAAATTCAAGATGATGGCCAATTCTCGCCATAACTCCTCATTAAAGACAAAGGACAATTACAAAATACCTAAAACAGCCCCTCATTCAAAAATTTCCCTCCCAAAATCGCATTAACCCCAAGTGGGGCAAAAAGGGGGTTCCGCCCCCCTTGCCGTTTCCGCCCCAGGCTTCCGCCTGGAGTAAACTTGGACCGGTCCCTGTTGGACCCGTCCAGCCGGCCTTTCCTGGGCCGGCCTAACACTCTCCTCTATTGACTCTACTAATAATGAATTCTAGGTCAGCTATGATTGGGAAATAATCTTCAAGAGCCCTAGTGATTTCACTTCATTATAATAAATCTGCAATCATCCCAACTGTTATCATGCCCAAGAAATTTGACCCTCTCCCAACTTGCATCACTTCTTATCATCATTGCTAATGCATAACAATTCACATCCCCTACTGGTACCTTCTCAACACAAACTACCTCTGAAGCTTCATTCATATGTCAAATAGCATCTTAACACTTCAAACATGAAAACAAGATACAATTTCAATGCATTAATTCTTCCAAACTTGTTTTTTGAAGCCAATTTTTACCCCAAAAGAGCCATTCATCAATCAAACAACAACTCATTCTTTATTGACAATAAAAAATCAATTTAATTAAGAATACGCATGAAACTAACTGATCTTCTACCACCTTTCTAAACAACTCAAAGAATCATAAATAACAACAAAACTCTCAATAATTACAATAATATTTAATAGCACTAGGACTTACAAGTATTAGACGTCTTCAAAAGGATGTCTTTTTTTTGTAGTGGTGTAGATGAAATTTTAAAAAGAATTCTACATAAAGATTAATTTTAAATCACGCAAAATACAACTTACTATTTGGATGGAACATTCGAGAAACAAATCGAACTGTTGGTGGTTTGTTTGGATAATCCTCAGTAAATTGCAGTGTGAGTTTGAACGTACCTGACAATTACCACACATAAAAACACATTCTTCATATAAACTTAGAGAGTAGCTAACAAAACTCAAGTAGAAAAAAAGGAATCACAAAAACAATCATTAAAAATGAAATTGTCAAATTAATCGATTAAACAAAAGTTGATGGATATGTAACATAAAATGGTAAATCAACTCGTATGACAAAAGCTAGAGCAAAAAGAAAAAATATTATGAGTAATTTGAACATTAAATGAAATGAGAGATTAAATTTACTTCAAGCATTAAAGTAACACCCTTTTGGATGAGCCACACATTACCACAAATATTAGACAACTGCATATTAATAGACGTAATAATTCAGCTAAACAAAACTATATATCGCGCACATTGTATTACATATATTGATATCTCACTTTGGCATCCAACTTAATGCCAAAACAGCCTCCATTAAAGTGTGTTTTTGATTTCCCAGATTTTAAAGAAAGTAACGACCTCCCTTTCTTATGTGACCATAGAAGCCATTACAATGCAACCATCAGGTTCATCACATGGGAAGTTACTTTTGGATTTTTTATTTGCATCTTGCTGCATAAAAAGATACATAAAATGTATATTATGTGCTCCACTTTTAAGTGATTTGAAGTAAAGGAAGCAAAATAAAAAATCAAATAAATAACACTATTAGGTCAAGGTGACAGACAGCCTCACTCCCACAATTACACACATAAGATACCCAATACAAATAACTAAATAGACAAAAACCATGATAAAAAGTGGAGTAGGAATGTTCATAGAATAATGGAATCCCAAAAGAAGCGTAGCACGCACATTGAAAAACAGTTCAATCATCAATGAATATAAAAGGGTAGCGTGGAACTCTAAAAGAATGGTTGTCCAAATTAAACAGTTGGTCACTCCAGCATGGCATGGACTAGCCGAAAATGTGTCCGATTAAAACAATTTTAAAAACAAATTGGGCAGGCATATCCGACATTCGTGTCTTAAATATTTTATGAGATTTTTTTAATTTCTTGAATTTAAAACTTCTATTTATTTAAAATATAAAAACTAAATTTCTTATATCAATTCAATCGCCCGCACTTATACCTTATTCATCGAATATTCTCATTTTCATTTCTCTTTGATGGGTCACAACTTTGGTTTCATAATAATGTCCGATGTTATTTCAACATCGACGTCTAACGCCATTACGACATCAATATTTTAAAATCATCCCAATATTAAAATCTGATACTGTCTTGACATTGATACTCGACACTAATAGTTTCTACACCCACAACTTGATAGTTCATCTTTGTCCGATATTATTTTAACATCGACGACCAACACCGTCTCAACATCAACAACCAATGCCCTCTTCACATCGACGCCCGATGCTGCATAACATCGATGTCCGACTCTCGACAGCATTGTCATCTCCTCTCTCGAAGCCTAATACACTCCATCGATGCTCGATATCATAATATTATTTATTTAAAGCACATATTCTAGTTAAATGGCTTATTATTTCTAAATTATTTTTAAGATTATGTTTGTTCAATTGTTATAAACTATTTTTAAAATATAAAAATTATAATATCGTATTTAACCCGTGCCTGTGTCCTTTATTTTAAATAATTGACGTGTCTTGTGTCCGTGTCGTATCCATGTCACTATGTCCGTGTTTGTGCATCATAGACTGAAAGTATAAGGTGACAAGCCTTAAGCTTGATAACTTCCATCAACATCGAAACTTGAAAGCATAAGTGACCTCACCTCCATCCCAAGGAGTGTCATCAGGGCTGTAAGAACACATGAAAGCAGAAGTAAGTCACAATTTTTAATGCAAAACTACAAAATAGAAAGTGAATGTTACAACAAATCCTACCCAAAAATGATAGCATTCCATAGTGTAATGTTGTTATCCTGAGGAGCACCACTAATGCCTGCAGGAGGGTCCTGCTGCAATCGTTTGAAGTCCCTCATCAATCTCTTTCTCGCAGGAGTAGACATCCTATCAACCTAAACATCACAGAGTGAACACCAATTAGAAACAAAGAGAAGAAATTATCATATTTACCACACAAAATAATCGAAAGCAAAAAGAGTTTCAGTGAAGTAACTAAGCAGACACAGGAAATAAACATTTTACTCCTGCGAGACCACTACTTTTCTCAATAGAAAGTTCGGCGAAATTTTGGCAACAACAACATTAGGAATCAGTTGCATAACAAATAAACTATGCAAATTGAAGTGCATATTGAACTGAGCATTGAGCTAATTCCCACCCAAGGTATGTCCCCTGAATTCAAATGACTCCTTCACCGCAAGCACAATTTCGGATATTAACTTACATTAAAATTTTCGACAACCGAACACCTGATCTAGGGGAAAAAAAGAAAAACCCTACATATAGCACGATCTTTGATATAGGATGTTTCAGCAGCAACGATCAGATAGGTCGAATAAGGAAGCAAATTCAATAGAGAAACAGGAATCTTAAATCAGAAAGCGAAAGGAGGAAACTACACCGGCAGGACGCAGACGCGGCAAGAAACGGGATCCTTATAGGTCTACCCCCGAAACCGGCAATTTTCGTCTCCGGCGATGCAAGTCGCTTCTCGTTCTCTCTCGAGATCAATAAAAAGGCGGACGAGATCAGACGCAGGCATCCATGGACGAGGTGAGAGCGATGACGATGGAGATGATATCTGTAGCGGAGAACGAACGCGAGCGGAAAGAGGAAAAGACGGGAAATGGGAAAGGAATAAAACCGAATCCATACGTGGATTAAACACTTATATATTAATTTGCATTTTTTTTGGATTTTTTTTATCTTATCAGTCCGATCGATCCGGTAAAATCCCATAATATAAATAAAATTTTCAATTCTTGAATTTACGGGAGATCAAAAGACTCGAGCCGGATTACTTTTCAACAAATCACCCACTATTCAACAACATTCAGGTGCTAATGACTTCACATTTCAAAAATGTTACTCCATTCTCATTCAGCTCATCTTCAAAGACAAATTTTTTTTTGCATTTAGGATTTACATTTAGGTTTTTTAGAATTTAGTGTACTTTCATGTCATAATAACTATGTATGCACTGCATAATAATTGTGTATGAACTTAGCAATAATTGTGTATGAACTATGTATGTGCTGCTTAGTTGCTTATGAACTCCGTATGAGTTGCATAAGAATAGGTTACGACTGCATATCGAATGTATTACATTTTCAAAATAATGTTGCAAAGTTAATAAATTTCAAAGTTTAGGAAATGCATTTTCGAGTCTATTTTATGGTTTATGGTTTACTGCATATTAGATGCATAATGACTGCGTATTGGATGCGCATGTACTACGTATTGGTTGCACTACAGGAAAATCACCCAAAACCGGCGATTTTTTCCGGCGGCTCTGATGGTAAAACCGGCGATTTTCAAAAACATCGGCGGCTTTGCGGCGGTTCTCACACCGCCGGAAAAAATGGCATAGGAAACACTTTGCCGGCGGTTTTATTAGCCGACGGTCTTCCGGCAGCTTATACTGCCGGTTATTACCCGGCTTTGTACCGGCGGTGTTCCGACCGTTGCGACGCCGGTCATTTTACCGATGGCTCACCGGCGGTCCATTCACCGACGGCTTGCCGGCGGTTACAGCGGCCGGCGTGTGTTCAATCAACTGCAGGCACGTGTCAGTACACCGCTGGTACGACACCGGCGGTTCCCAGCAGTCTTGGCTGATGGTCTTACCGGCGGTCTAGACCCCCGGGCTTTCACCGGTTAATCGTCGGGTGACATCGATAAACGCCGGTATTATACCGGCGGTTTAACGAAGTTACCAGCGACGTCAATCATCCGTCTGGTATCGTGGTTTCCAGTGGCCAAACCGTCGGTTGGCCGCCGGAAACCTGTAGCACCTGAAAAAAAATTGACAGCCTCCCCTATATTTGAGGGAGGTTCACCCTAAATTCTAAACCTGCACATAAAGCAATATATAACACCAAGTTTTGGACAACACGCTGCTATATTCAATCAACCATCACAAATATATACATAAGCACAACCAAAAGATAATCAATAAATATAAACAAAGTTAATATGTTCAATCATCAAACATAAGTTCACAAGTTTACAAGTTCACAATAAACATAAAAAAGTTCTACTCCTCAGCTGTATCCTCGCTGTCTCGAGATGCTTGTCGCTGATCTTCCTCTTGCTTCCTTTGATTTTCAACTCTATAGGATTGCAGCTCTGCTTGCATTTCATTTTGAACCCTTCTCATTTCTTCAATCTCTCTAATCAACGATGCAACCCTCTGAGTGACAGTTTCTTCAGCTCCAGTACTTGGATCATAAAATGCTGAGGTGGATGAATTGCCCTCATAAGCATAGCCCTGTGAACCCAAGCCATATATCCTCCCTCTCTGTCTTCCACCAACAACATCTGACCAAGTATGATACTCAGAAGTGTGGGCTGATCCTGAAGATGATCCATCGCTAGTGGACTGACGGCTTTCGTGAGCTCGTACAAAATCATCCTGCGAGAATAAAGCCATAAAATAAATTATAAATTTAAATTACAATTAGTTTTATTAAAATAAATTTTTATTCCAAATTTTCAAAAAATTTTACTCACATGAGCCTTCTTAGCCTTTTCATCAACCCACTGATGGTCGACTTGATGTTGATGCGTTCTTGTATGCAACTCCAGTGGTGTTGGCTCCCGACCAAGGTACTCTTTCTGAAAATTTAAGATATAGTTATAATAACATAAATATATTTAATAAACTAATTTAAAACACTTACCAGTCACCGTCTATGTTCTGTATGAGGTACAGATCCACCAGTATGAAGAGAGCATCCTAAACCACTATAGTTAGAGGCTCTATTCAGCTTATTCTGCTCTCTCATTTTTTTTAAACTCAGGGGGTCGCCCAATAACTACTCAAAATCAGCCCAAACGCCCTCTCCAATCCAATTAGGATGCTACCCAGACTTTATAATATCCGTGAACATGTCCCTGAGATGGGTCGCTCCTCTCCTCTCAAAATTTATTCTGATCCTCGTGCTGTACTCAGGCAACCACCTGAATTCTTTCTATAAAAATTTATGTAATACCAAAAAGATTAGTACAAATTAAATTACATATTTGAAATCATACCAAATAAGTATACCTAAAATTCTTCAAACCACATATCTCTAACCTTCTTTGAGATCTTCTTCCAGGATAAGTAAGGAGTATCATATTTATTCTTTATAATATCCCGGATCATATGTATAGGCGGCCTTGAAGGATTGAAGTTGCATGTTAGTTTTTTGGTCAATAACATGTAATATATCAAAATACAAATAACTTAATAACATAAACTGAACTTGCTTATCGCCCTCAGGCTCAATGTATTGATGCTTTTCTATTGCAGCTGCATGATCGCTAGCGCCAATCTCTGGTGGTCTAGATCACTACAGAAAAAATGCCGATTACCGGCGGTCATGAACGGTGGCTATAGGACCACTGGTAAGAACGGTGGTTTGGCCGGCAGTTTAGCCGTCGGCTATTACCGGCGGCCTAACCGGGGGTTTTGTAATGTTAAGCCATCGGTAATAGCGACGGTCATGTAACCGCCGTATAACCCTCCGACTCTTAATATTACCGACGATTTACCGGCGGCTTAGACCACCGTTGATAATTGATCCCAGTATGGGCGGTCGTGGCCGCCGGAAGACCGCCGGTAAATGCCCTAAAATTAACAGGCCCGAGCCTCGAATTTTATTTCTATTCTTTCCTTCTCTCACTTCGGACAAGCTCTGCCGTCGCCTCCGCCCGCCTCTGCTCTATCGAGCGCACTATCTTGCCACCGACGACCTCTCTCCGACCGTCGACCCCACACCGGCCGCCTCTCGCTCGATCGAGCTGTGCTGTCTTGCCGTAGTCGATCTCACACCGGCTGCCCTAGTTTTCGTGTGAGTTGAAGAAAAACTAGGATTTGAAGGTAATCTTTAATATTTTTATGTGATTATATGTTCTTACTAGACATTTGTAAGAGTTTGTAATTTATTGTATGATTTTGGTAGTAATCTAAACATATGCAAGAGGTAATCTTGTAATCGTTTGAGTAGATCTAAATTTTTATTTATTAAGTGTAAATTTAGTAATGATAGATATATTGTGTTGATTGTGACTTTGGGTTAGAGTAAGATAGCAAGAGAGAGATTGAGAGAGAAAAGATAGAGAGAGGGAGAGAGAAAAGAGAGGGAGAGAGAAAAGAGAGAGAGAGTGAGAGAGAGAGAATAAGAGAGATAGATAAATAAATAGAGAGAGAGAGAGAGAGCAAGAGTGAGAGCTAGAAAGAGGGAGAGAGATATAGAGAGAGAAAGAGAGCAAGCTAGTGTTAGAGAGAGCAAGAGAGAGGGAGAGTGAGAGAGAGAGAGAGAGAGAAAAGAGAGAGAGAGCGAAAAGGGAGAGATAGGGAAAAGAGAGAGGGAGAGAGAAAAGAGAGAGAGAGGGAGAGAGAGAGAGTGAGAGAAAGAGAGATAGATAGAGAGAGTTAGAAAGAAGGATAGAGATATAGAGAGAGAAAGAGAGCAAGTATTGCAGAGATGAGGATGCTCAGGTGGATGAGTGAGTTCACTCATAGGAATAGAATGCGAAACGAGAATATATGTGAAAAGTTTGGAGTAGCTCCTGTGGTACATAAGATTAGAGAGAGTTGCCTTAGATGATTTGGTCGCATAAAACATCAACCTTTATGATGTCCCAGTTAGAATAACATATATGTTAGATTTGATACCATGCTAAGAAAGTTATAGGCATCAATAAAAAGACTTGGTTATAAAGTATTAAAAATGAACTTTTCTTTAGATGTAAACGAGAATCTTATTCTTAACAGTACACAATGAAGAAAAAGAATTCATATATCTAACCCCACGTAGTGGGATAAAGAATTGATGTTGTTGTTGTTGTTGTTGATAGTTGATGTAGATGGTTAGTTTGTGTTGATGATTATCCTGTAGCCAATATTTGGGTTTGATTATCATGTTAGGTTGTAAATAATTCATTGATATCTAATTTGAATGTGACAAAAATAAGAATATTAAGATAGATGCATGAATAAAGCTTAAGAATCATACATCAAGAAAAGCTTAAGAATATCATACATCTAGAACACACATTATAAGTCTCTTAGCAGAGGTCGAGGTGTGAATTTTTTAAGACCACAAGTTCCAAGCGTATACAACATCTCTAATTTTCATCCTCGTATGAAGTTGTAGTTACAAGCTATTATATAACAACTTTTTTGTGTTAATGCCCTTTACTCTGGAGATCAATTTCATTGAAAATTATACTATGAGTAAATTCACTCATCCACCTAAAGTATAGCACGTTTGCACATGTGTTCTAATAAATGTTTTCATAACTATGTAGGGGGACGTTTGCTTCAACGTTCAAATGACTATCCAAGAAGAGAGATATTGGATGTATAACAGATTGTTGCCGAGTCGAAAAGGATTGACAGTTGAATTTATACAGGGAGTTGAAACTTTCATTCAAGTTGCATCTCAACTGCCTTTCTTTCAGTTTGATAAAATGTTTAGATGTCCATGTTTGAAGCAAAAAAATCTAGCATTCCTCAAGCCTGATAATGTGAAGCTTGATTTACATCGTAGGGGATTTCTTCCAAACTAATGGGTTTGGATATCACATGGCGAGTACGAGTCACACAGAGATGCTCATGCCTGTTCATCTACAGCTTATGAAATATTTGATGAAGATCAAATGAGTAGACCCTATGAAGACCTCTTTTTTTTTATGTAGCAGGTCATAGTTTAAGGTCTAGTGCAGAAGAGCCACCAAATGCAGAAATACAAAATTCTTTGAGTTATTACATTCAACTCAAAAGCCAATTTGGGATGGTTGCAGTACACATTAAGAATTATCCATTGCAATGAGAATGCTAAGTATTAAAACTGAGTATAATATTCCCCGTGATTGTTTTAATGACTTTATTGGTCTAATGAAAGAAATTAATCCAGCGGGCAATTTAATTCCCTCAGACTTGTACCGAATAAAGAAATTATTATCCAAGCTAGGTCTCACTGCTACAAAAATTGATTGTTGTATCAAATAATAATAATAATAATAATAATAATAATAATAATAATAATAATAATAATAATAATAATAATAATAATAATAATAATAAGGTGATTGTATTTTGAAGTTACATGAGATGTTCCTTAGATTTCAAATAAGTATAAGACTTTTAATTAATATAACAAATAAAAAGTATATGATATCATAAATAATATAAAAAACATCAATGATAGCACATAAAAATTTTGCTAAATTTCATAAATATTTTGCAAGCTATTCACTGGCAAGTAATGGGAAAAGGAATTCCTGCATCTTTGCATGAATATTTGGACTCTTATAATTTGCTAAATAGAAAAATCTTATCAAGAATAGTGCCATTATATCCAAACTTAACAAAGCTCAATATATGGAGAAGTGTGAACTTACAACATTTAGCTTTCAGTACTTTCCTACATCTTTGCATTATTTGTGCTCCTTGACCCAGTCTTCCATAACAGCAGCTACAAATACTTCGTGTAGATTGCCATGGTCAAAAGAAAGAAATTATCTGGTGACATATCAAATAATGGACCTCTGCACACAATTACATCTTCACACAACTTTCATTCTTTTAGATGAAGCAATTTCGATGCTCATAATCTAGATTGAGCTATAAATCTACTTACAAAAGCAATCACCCTCCATCCTCAATCAGTGGAGAAGTGTGAACTTACAACATTTAGCTTTCAGTACTTTCCTACATCTTTGCATTATTTGGGCTCCTTGACCCAGTCTTCCATAATAGCAGCTACAAATACTTTGTGTAGATTGCCATGGTCAAAAGAAAGAAATTATCTGGTGACATATCAAATAATGAACCTCTGCACACAATTACATCCTCACACAACTTTCATTCTTTTAGATGAAGCAATTTTGATGCTCATAATCTAGATTGAGCTATAAATCTACTTATAAAAGCAATCACCCTCCATTCTCAATCAATGAACTGATTATAAATGCCAGAATCCAAATCACGGCCTTCTTCATCACCACCATATATAGCATCCTAATCCACAAAGAACTCATTCATATTCAACACAAGCACACATTGAAACCCATCACCTTGGTTTCCTACTCTTGTTCAGATGGTCCGAGTACTAGCATTCAGATAATCTAAAACAAGAACAAGTTTTATGAACTCCCAAGTGCTTTGGAGAGGCTTCCTAGAGAAGCAGGTATGCCCAATAAATCGGTTTGAATTTAGAGCCCTGGGGACAGGAAGTAAATATATTAAACAAATTGAGCACATCCTCAAAGAACATTAGTGGAGTGTTGGGCATTGGTTACAACAACTTGCAAAACTGTAAGCTGAGTTAGTTTTCCTATTTCACTGGTGAAGCACCAATGAAGCCAACAGCTTACCAGCAATCTAAGTAATTACCTAATAAATATTGAAGTTAGTTAGCTCAAAATTTTAACTTTTATTGAATCCATAAAAATATTAAAGAATTTAATTAGCTTACAAAGCTTCAAGTAGCAAGCTTCTAATGGCTAGTGTAAGCTGGCTACTTGGATCACTATTATAGCTATGATCCCTACCGTTTTCAAAATGAGTACCCCCAATTACTTATATAGATAAACAATATCATTCCAAATGAAAAAAAATGAAACTTTGTTTTATTTTTTCAATTGTGTGGACGAAAATCTCTGCTCCATGAAAATATAAAATAGGGATATTCAATCGAGCAAGCAGCAAAATTTAGCATGGAAGAATAGGTAATAAGAAAAAAAAAGTAGAACTCTCTACATCAAACAAATCTATAATTGATCAAATACAAATATATAAATACCAAATAGCAAGAAGAAGACAATTAAAAAAAAAGTAGGAAAAGTAGAAAAAAAAAAAGACGATACCTTTCACTGGTCCATGAAAATAAATGCACGTGAGCCATTGCATATAAATGCACCTGTGTTGGCTAGTAAATGATTTTGTCTGAGTAAATGAGCAGGTTGTCTAAATTTTAACATGAGAATCTAACTGAATTAATCAGTTCTAACTCAGTTTAGTTCAGATCCCATTCTGGTAGAGTGTAGTTTCAAAAATGATGGAACCAAGCATATTTCAGTTATTTCTCCTAGTATTAATTTGGCCAAGAACCGAATAGAGCAAGCATGGTACTCTTCCTAAAATCTCCATTTCATAGGGACTATTTCAATTAGTCAAATTCATGAAAATAAATCAACAATCTTAAAAATATAATAAAACCAATTCAAGTCCATTTAAAATTTCAAGAGGAGGGACTATCGGTTTTCCACCCTTGTAGAAAACAAGAGGTGTTTCTTTTGGAAATTTATCAAGCCCCCACCTGTGTTCCAACAAATAAAAGAAAGAATAAGCAATCAATATTTGATATGATAGTAAAGACATGCACTATGAAAGTTTCATTACAAGGCTAACTTGATAAATTTAATGTGCAAACTTTTCTATAAATCAACAGGGCTTTGACTTATGAATTACAAAGGTGAACTAACAAAGATAAAGTTCAGTAAAGAAATAACGACTATGGATCTCATTTCTGATATGATTTTGTGTTTTAGCGAACCATATGAAGCAAGCTATTTGTAATAAATGCAGGTCTTATCTAACAAAATTAATAAATGGAGGTAAGCTAATATCAACTATTTTAACATGAGCTAAAACAGTATTGGGATTTCTATGTGTACATAAACACAATGATATGTGTAACAAATATGTACAACATACGATGCTACTTTAGGAAGTTTAAATATTTATCTAGAGTTCCTCAAAATTATTTCAGATATTAAATATGAAAAAACCTGAACTTAACTTATTTGTTGAGCGGATATTTTTTCCACTCAATAACAAATGAGACACGAATTCAATTTTTGGAGAACAAGATTGCATCATTGAAGTAAAAGTAGCATAACCATCTCTCAGCTTTTACTAAATTTTAAAGTATTGTTTGATGAGATCGGCATCCTAATCAAAGTTCTCAAAATGATAAAAATAAACAACACTGAGTTTTGGTTCGTGCTTTTAATCGAGAATATCATGCTTTGATGATTGCTTTATCTGATTGGGCTACATCAGTAAGATTGATTCAAATGGAGAATTTACTTTTAGTCAAGAAGCTTTATATTTTTAAATGAGTAATTTAACCATTTCCATATCTAAAAAGGAAGCATTGATTTCTAAGAATAAAAAATAAGCAATGGCTTTTAAAAAAAATCAACTTAAGAAATTGAAAAGAGCATTATTAAGTTCACCTTTTGAAATGGGGATTGTTGGTAGGTTCGGCGAGAAGAACATTCGCAGGCACCGACGAGAGGAAGAACAGACCTGTGGGAGATTTGCTTGCGAGCAGATGAAATTCTATATAAGAACGGAATGCACCATTTCGTGTAGGGATGCGTTGATACGAAGAAGAAATAACAAGAGGAAGAAAAGACTAATATTTGGTGGCGTGTAGGGATGCATTGATACAAAGAAGGAATAATGAAAGGAAGAAAAGCTAGACATTAGGTCGATCGTGAGCAGATGGAATGCGCCATTTCAGAAGATGGGATTATATGAAGAGAAACAAAAAGTAAAAACAAATTAACGATGGAGATTCGTTTAAGGTTTTCCAATGAACGTTTAGGATGTTATGTGGGAAGATTCATAAGCGACACTTTAATAGTAGTATAGATTTAATCATCTTAACTAAAATTTGATCAAAATATGTTAATTTGACCGTGTTTTATATTTGTCCGAAGAATTCTTCGAACAGCATCATAAATTCTGCTCATTGGAATTATGATTTTATTTACAAGAGTGGTCAAGTCTTCGAAGAATTCAGGATAGTCAAATGGAATCATTATCTGAAACATTTTCCAAAACCAAAATGAGAGAAAACAAAGAAGTTTTAAGGACCCATGATATAATGCTATTTTGAATTTTGTGATGATATAATGTTATTATGAATTTTGTGATAGAAAAGATTAACTAACCATGTCAATTCCTGCTAGAATTCTGGCCTGGATAGAGAAAGTATAGTTGGCATGAGCAGGCGTGGTTATCCTATCAATGCCTTCCCAATCTGATATTAAAAATCCCTATTTATGCAAAAAATAATGAAAATGTTAATTTCTCATTACAAATTCTCAATAAAAGGAAAATTCTAAATCTTGAATAAGAACCTAGTAAATGATCAAAGGAAAGGCAAATTGACAATAGAACCAATTTGATTAAATTTTGATATTTTGATGGACTAAATTTAAAATTTAGAAGAATTTGAGACTAAAATAGATGCACCTACAAGTCTATGAACTATCTTGGACATTTACTCAATAAAAACTCTTAAGGCATCCCAATTCTTTATGTTGTACCCACTATTCTTGTAGGAAGGAGATCTGCCTGAGCTTATTAATAGAACCTGATAAGCTAGTTATTGCCGAAAACTGATAAGCTACTTATTGATCATAAGAAAAAGGCTAACCCTGAAACGCAGTTTGTTTTTCAGGAAATCAGTTAAGAGGTAATGGTTCTCATGCAAATCAAGGAAGCAGAGAGGAGTAGAGGAGAAGAACACTGTAGAGAGGAGAAGAACACCGTAGAGGAAAAGAAATGGAAAGGAGGAAGAGCAACCTACTATCCGACATGAGAAGAAGCCAATCGGAGAATCAGTGGTGCCGACGACACAGTAATTTCTGCCAGGAAGAAAAACGACAACAACTAAGAAAGAAATGAGGTATGTAAAAGAAGAGTATGCGTCCATGGGAGAAAAGAGAGAGAGATAAACGAATTGCAAACCCAATAAAAAGTTGAAGTGGGAATTTAGGCTTAAAAGGGGAAGAAAAAATTATAATTTGACGAGAGTGGAGTTTAATAAGTGAACTATTAATTAGATAAATAATAAATTAATATGAATTCATATTTTAAAATTTTAAATAAAAAAAGAAAATTTTATTTAATTATTGAATTCAATGGTATATGTTTAAATATATCATAAAAGAATTTGAATTAACACCATTAAATATAAATAAGAAAAATATTAATCCCTATAAATTATTTTTAGTGGATTGATTTATAAACTATTTGGCTAATCTCCTTTGATAAAAAAAATTTTGATCACGCTATTGAAATAATATAAGAAGAAAAAGAGCTTATGAGGAGAATTTTGAAGATAATTTAGGAGAGTTTAATAAAAAAAATTAAGGTCTCATCTACTGAATTAATGATATATACAATTAAAAGTATAAATATTACATCATATATGATAGTCATTAAATAAATTTATTAAATTAAACATATATATATATATATATATATAATTAATGTTGAAATCGGTCCGATTGAATTTTTGAAGTTTCCAACTTAATGACGTGCTACAAGCTGTCTAGCTACCACGAACGGGTACACATGTCTGAAGTAAGTTCAAATGCATGCTCCGGCGAGTAAGTCGGAGTACACAAGTTCGAAGCCTTGGAGAGCGGGTAGAGAGCAGCAACGACCTAGGCGGGAAGCAACGCGGCGAAGATGAGGAAGATCGAAATAATCGAGCACTCTCGCACGAATGGGGCATTTGCGACATTTTTTCCCTTCGAAGCCGCGGAAAGCAGTGGACCGCGGGAGGCAGTGAAAGGTCGCAGGGAGCAGGGACGGGCCGCAGAAATTTTTCGAATGTGGGTCTGCCATAATGCCCCAAACGTCCGTTTAACAGTTTTTTGTGAAGCACAGCAACAGTAAAGCCGTCCCAAACGCACCCTTAATAGTTGAGGCGGTGAAACTGTTGCTGCATCACATTTTAATTGAGATGGCTGTTATGCCATCTCAAATTATAACTTTTTATTTTATTTTATTTTATTAGTGATTTGCCTTCTCAAATCCAAAAATATTTTAAGAAATTCTAAAAAAAAAGCTTTGGAAATTCCCCTCCCATTATTTCACTTAATTTTTTGACTTTTAAAATTTCAAAAATTTATGAAATGGCCTTTTGAATTCTTATAAATTTATGAATATAATTAATTTTTGCCTCTTAAAATTCTAAAATGTATTTAATTTTTTATAGAAATTTCTAGGGAGACTTTTTATCTTGTCTCTTCTTGCAACTATAAATACCCCGCTTCGGGGCTTGAAAATTTGCGCCTCTCCCTCTCTTCTCTTCTTTCTTAAGCTGAGGTTTTCCCCTAGCTTTATTCAGATGGGTATCTCCTGTTCAGTCCTAGGGCCCCTAATTGAGTAGGAATTTCCTACACTTTCTTCTCATCTTTCTCAAGCTGAGGCATTCCCCTAGCTCTGTTCAAATGGGTATCCTCTGTTCAGCTCTAGGGCCCCTCATTGAGTAGGAATTTCATCTTTCTTCGTCTCTTTCTATATATAGGTCATCACGGGCAATGACCATCCTTCAAGAGATTTGATGACCAAACGAGATTTACGTCTTGCTGCACAGAATGATGATGAGAGGGGGGTCTAGCAAGGGAGCTAAATCAGATGATGTTGCATTCACCATTACTGGCGATGGAGGTTGAAAAGACTGTAGTAGGAGGGTAAGCCGTTGTCAGGAGGGAGATCGAAAGTCCAGTGACGAGCAGAAGTAGGGCATCGTGTAGAAGTATGACGAAAAATCTGACGACGGGCAGAAGTACAATGACAGGAGGAAATCTAGTGTAGGGTAGAAGTCCGATAAAAGTCCTGCGACGGGCAAAAGTTCAACGACGAGAGGAAGTTTAGCATTAGCTAGAATTCCGACTAAAGTCCCGCAAAAGACAGAAGTCAAATGACAGGAGGAAGTCTAGCGTCGGGTAGAAGTTCAATGAAATTCTCGCGACGAGCAAAAGTCCAATGACGGGAGGAAGTTCAGCGTCAGGCAGAAGTTTCGATGAAAGTCCTACGACAGGAAGAAGTCCAACAACCGGAGGAAGTCCTGCGACGTCGGGTATAAGTCCAATGAATGTTTCGCAGTGGGTAGAACTCCAACGACGGTAAGAAGTTCAACGTCAGGTAGAAGTTCCGACGAAAGTCCTGTGACGGGCAGAAGTCCGACGACTGGAGGAAGTCCCGCGACGTCTAGTATAAGTCCGACGAAAGTCCCGTGATGGGCAGAAGTCCAACGATGGGAGGAAGTTCAGCATTGGGTAGAAGTCCGACGAAAGTCCCGTGGCTGGTAAAAGTCCAACGACGGGAGGAAGTTCAATGTCGAGTACAAGTCAGATAAAAGTCCCGTGACGAGTAGAAGTCCAACGATAAGAGGAAGTTCAACATCGGGTAGAAGTTCCGATGAAAGTTCTGTGAAGGGTAGAAGTCCAACGACCGAAGGAATTCCCACGACGTTGGGTATAAGTCTGATAAAAGTCCCGCGACGGGCAGAAGTTCAACGACAGTAAGAAGTTCAACATCAGGTAGAAGTTCCAATGAAAGTCCTGTGATGGGCATAGGGTCAGCGATAGGAGGAAACTTAGTTTCAAGCAGAAGTTCGATAAAAGTCCCACAATGAGCAGAAGTTCAGCAACGGGAAGAAGCTCGACATCAGGCAGAAGTCCGACGAAAGTCTCGCGATGCGAAGAAGTTTGGCGTCGGGTAGAAGTCCAATGAAAGTCCGTCATCAGGCAATAGAGCATAGAATTTTCCAAAGATATATGACTCGTTTGATGTTATATAACGTTAACATATATGAAAGAGGTTGAGAGAATCCACTAAGGATGTGCGACCTATCCAAGGTTATATGTCAGAGCCCTACTTGATGACGTTAACATATATGGAAGAGGTCGTGGGAATCCATCAAGGATGCATGATCTATTCGAGGTTGTATGTTAGAGCCATGCTCAATGACGTTAACTTATATGGAAGAGCCCAAGAGAATTCATCAAAGATGTATGACCTATCCAAGGTTATATATCAGGCCTTTGCTCGATGATGTTAACTTGTGTGGAAGAGGTCAGATCGAATCCCCCTGGGATCAATCATCCAATGATTGAAACACAATAAATACTATGTATTTCTCGAATCAATGATTTAAGATTTGATTGACATCCTCCTAGGATGTTTGACTTATCTAAGGTTATATGTTAGAGCCTTGCTCGATGACTTTAACCTGTGTGGAAGATGTCAAATTGAATTCCCTTGGGATCAATTTTTCTTTTATTAGGAGGGGGCAAATACCACATGTATCCTAAATCCAAGGTAAAAAAATGGTTTATCTTTAAAATGTTAATGCCTTTTTGAGGTCGAGATTAAGATATTGCCCAAGGAGTAGAAGTCCAGCAGGAGACTCTATGTGGCTTGAAATTTATCGGAATCATCCTTGCATTTATCGGGAGTTTCCTAATATATCATATTGATTTTGAAAGTATGGAGGGATCTTCTTGACCACAGTTGGAGTTAAGGTTGCCCTCTAGTTAGGATCTAATTCCCATAAAATTGATGCATTAATGGATAATATCAGGATGTTGACTTGAGCAATCTTTTGAGATTGGGAGCAATAGTTGCCCCCCAGTCAAGAATGACGTTCCCACAGACGACGCTAGACTATTGCAGGCTAGAATATTTGTGGCGATAGAGTTGTAATTCTATGTCTTTGCGTTGCACGGATATCCAACTCACATACAGAGAACACAATATTTTTTACGTGGAAAACCTAGAAAAGGGAAAAACTATGGGGCTTGGCCCAAGTGAAGATGATTCCACTAGAATTTGAGTAAATTACAATGGTCTGACTCTTCCTTAAAGACGACCAGATTACAAATATCAATTGAGAGTTTTGCAAAATTCCAACGTCACTCCAATGTTAGGTGGTGGTCCGGCAACACTCTAGTGTCAGGCGGTGGCCTAATAGTGGCACTTCTACATCAGGGGGTACTCCGACTTCGGGTGGCACTTTGTTGTCCTTTGATGGTTTGGTGGTGGTTTGATAGAACTCCATCATCCCTTGGTGGTCCTACGGTGGTGCTAAAAATCTTTGGCATCCCTTGGTGGTCCACAATGGTATGGCAGAACTCTGACTTCCCTTGGTGGTCCCCAATGGTGTGGTAGAACTCTGACTTCCCTTGGTGGTTTGGCAATAGTGTTGCAGATGTCTGACATCCCTTGGTGGTCCAGTGGTGGTGCGTAAGAACTTCGACGTCCCTTGGTGGTCCGGCGGCAATGCTACAGAACTCTGGCATCCCCTGGTGGTCCGGCGGTGGTGCGGCAGAACTTCAACGTCCCTTGGTGATACAACGGTGGTGCGGTAGAACTTTGACATCCCCTGGTGGTACGGCAGTGGTGCGGCAGAACTCTGGCAGTGGTCGAATAAGAGTTAGGTGACTGGAGTTTCCTTCCTTCTCTTCCTTCTTCTCTCTTGGCTTCCTCCTCCTTTCAAAAGGAAATGGGATTCTGTTTATAGAATTCTTGAGTGGCATGGTTTGTAAATAAGTGGAAGATTAAGGGTAAATTGGGAGTGATTTGGATGGACGACCGATCTTGATTCCTACGATCATGCACCATTCAATAGACCTTTGACTTTCTTAATGATATCGGAATTTGATGATCTTGGGCTTATTGGATTCGTCTCATCAAGCCGTTCGATTCGATTAGAAGCATGTCACAATTGGAGATCGTTTGGTAACCCAAATTGTGTTTATATCTTTCTAAAAGTGCTTCAAGTATTTGATTTGGACTCATTTGGGCTCGGATTTGATCGATTTTGGTGTCGTTGGGTTCGTGTTTCTGAGACACTCAATTCGACTATAGGTTTGCATAAATCATAATTCATAGGGTCTTTGATTTAATTTTTGAAGTTTCCAACTTGATTTTTCCTTGAGATTCATGCTTAATCGAGACTAATTTTTGGTGACATATCAATTGCCCCCCTATTTAGCATTATACGAAGATCCAATACACACATAGTTAAAAAGAACAGGTACATCATTCAGTAGAAATACCAAAATTTTTACATGAAAACCCCCTAAAAAAGGGAAAAACCATGGGGCCTAGCCCAGTTTTAATGAATCCACTAGTATTGTAGTTGATTACAAATGTGATCCTTCCTTTGGGGAAGGCCTTGACTTGATATACATCTTATAAAGTACATTAAATGATGAGAATATAAAGAATCAATACTGACGTGTTTATTTAGTCTAAAGGACTGTAGTCGGTGAGCGACGTAAGTCAGAATGACCATAGTCGACAAGCGACGAGGTCGGAAGGACTGTAGTCAATGGGCGACATAAGTCGGAAGGACCGTAGTCGGCGGGCGACATAAGTCAGAAGGACTGTAGTCGGCGAGCGATGGAGGTCAAAAGGACTATAGTTGGTGGGCGATGTAAGTCAAGAGAACCATAGTTGACCTGCGACGGAGGTCGAAAGGACTGTAGTTGGTGGGCGACATAAACTAGAAGGACCATAGTCGGCTAGCGACAGAGGTCGTGGTCGGTAGATGACGTAAGTTAGAGAGACCATAGTCGACTGGCGACGGGGTCGGAAAGACTGTAGTTGGTGGACGACGTAAGTCAAGAGGACCGTAGTCGGTTGGTGACGGAGGTCGGAAGGTCCGTTGTCTGATGACGGAGATCATAAGAATGGCGTTATGTAGAAGTCCAGCTATGGATAGAAATCCCACTTTGGATAGTTATCTGACGAAAGTCTGATAACAGGTAGAAGTCTAGTGCCAGGTAGAAATCTGGCAATGAGTGGAGATCCGTCATTGGGTAGAAATCTGAATTCAGTTAGCGGCCGGAGAACTCTGGCGCTAGAAGCTATTCGGGCAAAACTCCAGAGTCGCAAAGTTCCGGCGTCACTGGAATGTCGAGTGGAATTCCGACGTCCCATGGAAGTCGGGCGGAATTCTGGTGTCACTTGGAAGTCTGACAGAATTCCGGCGTCACTTAGAAGTTGGGGAGAATTTTGGCGTCCCGTGAAAGTCGGGCAGAATCTTGGCGGTGGCCGAGGAGTTTCTTCCCTCCTAATATTCTCTTCTTCTTTTTCTCGTCTTCTTCTTGCTTCTCCTTGCTTGGGCTCTCCTCCCCCTCTCAAGAGAAAAGATGGGCTATTTATAGTTTTTTGATGATTGCATGACCCGTAAATAGGAGGAGGATCAAGGGCAAATTTGGAGTGATTTGGATGGACGATAGATATTGAATCCCTTGATCGTGGACCGTTTGTTAAACATTTGAAGATCTTAATGATATCGAAATTCAACAATCTTGGACTCGTTGGATTTGTCTCATCGAGCCGCTCGATTCGACTATAAGCATGTCATTTTTGGAAGCCCTTTGGTAACCAAAATTATGGCTTGAACCTTCCGCATGTGCTTCAGGCCTTTGATTCGAACCCATTTGGGCTTGGATTGAGCTGAATTTGGTGTCGTTGGGTTCGTATTTTTGAGACGATCAGTTCGATTGTAAGTTTGTTGAAATCGGAGTTCAAATGATCCCAGAATTAATTTTTGAAGTTTCCAATTTGATTTTTGCCTCGAGATTCACGCTCGATCAAGATAATTTTTCGATGATATAACAGAAATAATTCCAATATAAAACAAATCGCATTCACCTTTTGCTTATGAGAATTTTATTAAAGAATTCTTCGTAGTTTCTTTGTCACAGTGAATACAGTGATAAGATATTTACCTAAGAAACAAAGGAATAAAGGTGAAATAAGAAATTGACCCCCAAATAACCTAAAGATAAGGTAATCCGATTGAAGCATGCATGCACGATGAAGAATCAATATTAAAAGGAAAAAAATGCTAAAATTATTAAATATTATAATTAGGGGTGTAAGGAGTCAAGCCCACTCGTGAGTCAGCTTAGACTCGGTTCGGTAAATGACCCATGAGCCGAGCTTGATGAGCTAACGACTCAAGCTTGAGTTAGAACCAACTAGATTCATTAGCTCATAAGCCAGTTTGTTTAAAAAACATTAATATAAAATATATTTGAATTATATTAGGATTCAGGATTTTTAAGTACAAAATAGTTATATCTAATTTTCTTATATTAAGTACAACAACAACAACAACAACATCAAGCCTTTATCCCACTACGTGGGGTCGGCTACATGAATCCTTTTTCTCCATTGTGTCCTATTAAAAGCCAAATTCTCGTTTAAATCTAATAAAGAAAGGTCATTCCTAATATTTTCTAACCAAGTCTTTTTAGGTCTACCCCTACCTTTCTTAACACAAGTCAAATCTAATACCTCTACTCTCCTAACTGGGTCGTCGGAAGGCCGCCTTTTTATGTGACCAAACCATCTAAGGCGACTCTCTCTAATCTTATCTTCTACTGGAGCTACTCCAACCTTTTCACGTATATGCTCATTTCGTATCCTATCTCTAAGGGTAAAGCCACTCATCCATCTAAGCATCCTCATCTCTGCCACACTTAACTTAGTATTATGCTTCTCTTTTAATGGCCAACATTCGGCACCATAAAGCATTGCAGGCCTCACCACCATCTTATAGAATTTTCCCTTAAGTTTGAGGGGTACATTTCTATCACATAACAAGCCCGATGCATTCCGCCACTTCAACCATCCAACTTGAATTCTGCTGATAATATCCCCATCTATTTCACCATCACTCTGAACAATAGATCCAAGATACCTAAAACGTGTACTCTTATTAATGACTTGATCGCCCAAAGTCACAATCCCCTCACTAGGACTATTACTGCTAAAATTACGCTCCAGACGAAACCATTGTAGCTTGGATTATATGGGGGGTTTTCTCCCTCCTATTTGCAACCCTTTAGCTTTGATTTATATATATATATATATATCACTCTAAGCTATCTCAATTTTTAATGAGGTCCAGAGCTCTACTACGAGGAGTCAAGTGGATAGAACTTCATATGGAGAATAGAAACAAAAGTAGATCATGGAAGAAAAAGTGAAGATGAAGATATTCTTCAAAGCTCTCCTAAGAAGTAGCAAAGCAACCGAATATTCTCTCACCGACCTTATCCTGTTGTCAATAGTGTAATATATCGATCAGTTACTCATGAAAAATAAAGGAGTAAATAAAAACAAAAAAGCCATTAATTTATTTCCTTCTACTTATATATGCATTACAAATTCACAAGAGCTCTGCAGTACTTCAACTGACCCAACCTCTGTCAATCTTTCTCTCCGAGTAAATATGGAGAAGATGAACAAGTTTCAACTTGTAAAAGCAACAGTTCTCCTTCTCCTTCTCCTCGTCATTCCTTTTGTGTCCTCCTCTATGAGGCCTTCCTACCTCTACTTCCTCCTCAACATCTTAATCCTCTCTCTTGGTATTGAAGCTGGCTTTCACGCTGCCATTTCTAACCCTCGCGATGAAAAGAAGCCAGCGATATCGTCATCCCTTGCCGTCGAAGTTTTTTTGCCAACGAGTGATGGCGGTATCGAAACTGGGGGGATGAAAGAAGTAGCAGTCATGAAGAAGCCGGCGGCGATGGCCGAGAAGATAGTGGCAAGTGCAACAATAGCAGTGAACAAGTTGAAGAAGTGCCCATCAGTTCCTAGCCTTTTTTTCATTGGTAGCTACGAGACTGTAGAAGAGGAGACGAAGTCTGAATATGAGCAGGAGGAAGAAGAAGAGGGGGTAATGGAAGCAGAGTTGGGAGATAAACTAAATGCTCAAGAGCTGTTTTCTAAGGCAGAGATGTTCATTACTAACTTCTACAAGCAGCTGAAGATGCAGAGGGAAGAGTCTTGGAAGAGAATTCATGGCTTTTATCACAAGGCTTTTTAGGGAGAAAGCTTTGAAAGTAGTGCACGCCTACATGCATGTCATTGCTTATGCGTTCAGAATATTTAGTTGGTCAGTTGGTCTTAGTAGGGTGTTAGGATTCAATATATATGAAAGTTGTGGTTGATGTTTTTAAGGTCAAAATATGGTTTATTAGCTATGGCTTGATTGGGATTAGTGGCTGGGTGAAAGAGGGATATAGGGAGGAGAAGCCAATCTATTTTCTTTGGTGCCTCCAATTCTTTCTTTCCTTAAGTAATTTGTATTTTATAATATTTCTTATTTATGATTTACTTGGCTAGATTTAAGGTTAACAAGTGGTCATCATAGGGTAATTATTAAGGGGAAATTAATCAAAGATTATGGCTTCATTTGGGACTACTTTCTTATTAAATTTTAAAGTAGATTTTTAGGACAAAATTTTTTGAATTAAAATTTTTTGTACTAAAAAATTATTATAAAAAATAATAAGAAAGTTGAAGTTGCCCCAAACTAAGCCTTCATTGACTGAGATAAAGTTTAGCCAGAATTAAGAGTGAATTTTAATTTTAATGAATTTTGAATGTGATTACTAAAATAATGAATTTAGCTAAAGTTAGCAAACCAGTAGCTAATTAATTATCTTATTTGAGCTTTGAGCAATCAAACTCATCATCTAAGCAATCAAATTCATAAATTTTGACTTTTATTATTAGTTTGGATTGAAAAAAATATATATTTTTAAGTTTATAAACAAAACAAAACAAAATTTGTGTTCAATTGCAGAATCTTATGTAAATTTTCAAAATTAATTATTTAAAATATACTAGTTGAAAATATCATGTTTCTTAATTTACATAAATCATTTATAAAGTATAATCTTGATTTATCAATTTATTCTTTTAGGGTTGTCTAGTTTACATTACATTAGCTTTGCGACAATTAAGACAATACACTTTACTATTTTGTTATTATTTTTTTAATTAAGAAAAATCTCATAATAGTCTCTAGATCATTCATGTATGATCAATTTAGTCCCAAAGTATTATGATGCTTCAATTTAGTCCATTGACTATGCAAAATTGTTCCAAAATTGTCTCTCATGTTGTAATTGTGATGAATAATTGATTCCAATTTAGTCCCTTGACTTTTCAAAATGTATCCCAATTTAATCCCAAAGGAAATCATTTTGGATCAATTTTGTATAACGGGGATTAAATTAGAGCAATATTATACTTTGAGACTAAAATGATCATATATGAATAGTGGAAAGTTATTTTGAAATTTAACCCTTTTTTGTTATGCCTTAGCATTGTGTTAGAATATTCTTCTTGGAAGAGGGAGATTTTATCATTTTACCATTAAATGAGAAGTCCCCACACACATAAATAACTTGAGGCCAGCTCCATCACTACAAAAGAAATCATCGAATACCAGCAAAATTTTTGATGAAAAATTTTCACAAGAAATTCTGCCGATTTTTACTCCTCCTGTCGCTTTTTCCGTATGATTACCCACCACTGATAAATATTTATTTTTGATCGAAAAATTTGCGGAGAAGGCTCTGTTTCGCCCCAACACACATTGCTTCTTCACTTTCACATTTTTTTGCCTAGAGACAAAGCTGACGGGTGCTTTGCCCCCATTTGTCGATCCAAGTGATTTCTTGTTTATTTCTGTCCATTTATTCAAGATTAAGAAAGTAAAAATCATTATTTTGACTCGGTTCATTTTTAACACAATTTGAACTGTTAGAATTCATGTTATTTCGAGTTTAGAGAGTTTTTTTTTTTACTCAAAGTTGTATAACTTCATAGATCGTGTTACATAGAAATTATTTTTCATGTTTAGAGAGATTTTTATTCATGTATTTTGGTATCGACGTAATACTATGAGTATAACATGTGGTCACAAGCTATTGGAGGGAGACAAAAGAAAAGGGTGTATGGATTAGGTTCTCAGGCGTATGCATATGAAACTAATACATCTACCTCAATAACTTTTGGTGATAGTGGAGTTGATGATATGATCGACTAGAGGGTTGCTGCTATCACCAAAGAGATATAAGCCAAATACTAAAACAACATATTGGGATATAAGCAGATCGAGCTATGATCATACTTAAGCCAAAATAGAAAGAAAAAGGGCCAGTATCCCGAGCATGAATTAGAGGAGAGTGAGATGGAATGTCACACTCCAAGATCTATATTAGAAGAATTACATCTATTTTTCATTTTAACTAGAGCTTATTAATGAACAACAGAAAGAAACATGATTATATTTTGTCTAAAATTGCATGCATAAAAATTATGTATGTTGTCTAGAGCCTCTTATCATAGGATCCTTATCCTTTCTTAATAACATATAAAATTATGTAATGAGCATATAACACACTAAGTAACTAAAATATTACAACTAAAATTAAAATAAAATAAAAGAGAATAATATGCTATAAATCATATAAAAAATATATGCATCAATATCTATACTGATTATCTGTATTAATTTATCATTATATAGTTTATCACAACTCAATCCATTACATCATCAGTCACATTATCAATAATAGTCAACAGTATTAATGCCAGTAATAATATTAGTATCATGATTAATAACGTTAAATAATCTTAATGATAGTAAACATTATTAGTATCAGTCATAAGATCAGTACAATATTTGTAGTAGTGTCCATATCATTATTCAGATATTAATGAGTATATTTTAAGGGTATTTTGTTCATGCACTTATAATTCTCAATTAGTGAATCACGTGGATCAGTAGGGTATTATCACAACTCGACTCGATATGACCCAAAACTTTGCCATAAAATCTCTATTGTTGTATTTTAGTTTCTCTAATTTATATATAATTTTTTGGACACTGGTGAATTTCCTTAAAAAATTGGTACCAAGTGAAAGTTTTGGGACCATCTTGTTTCCATTTTACTGACTAATTTATTCAAAATTTTCCAAAAAAAATGAGCTATTTTATGAATATTTTTCTACAATTTTTGGAATCCCTAAAATAATTTCTAGGAATTTTATACTAAAACCATAACATCTCTATTATTGTATTTTAGTTTCTCTAATTTTTTCATAATTTTTGGGCACTGGTGAATTGTCCTACGAAATTGGCACCTATCAGTACAAGTGGAGGTTTTGGGACTTTCAGGTGTCCGTTTTGTAAACTTATTTTACCAAAATTTTTTAAATAAAATGAGCTATTTTATAAATATTTTTCCATAATTTTTTAAATTCCATAAAAAAAATTTTATATGAATTTTATACTAAAAATTAAAATAATAATATTATTATAATTTTATTTTATATAAAATTTAAAAGCATTTATATTCACTAAAGCCATTTTAGGCCATTTATTTTAATAGAGAAATGGTTGGGAGAAATGAGAAAAAAAAGAGAGGGGAGAGACAAAGGAAGTTGGGTTTTAGCAGTCATAGAGCGATTTTAGTTTATCGGCCCCAGTTGAAAAATTTGCTCATCTCAAGGTATGTTACGTTTTGCCTATTTTAGACTTCAATAATTTTGTATTTTTTATTTTTTTTTATCAAATTTGTATTTCCGTTATAAAAAAAATGAGGATAACTTTATTTTGATAAAATTTTCATCATATAACTTTTTATATGTTATAGAGATTATGATTATGAACATTTTGAGTATATTCTAAAAACTTTTTTCTAGGTGATTTAAAAAAAATAGTAATTTTTACCTAGTAAAAAATTTATTTTAGCATCTAAAAATAGTGATTCAATTCAATTAAAGTTTCATAATGAGATTTTACATAATATCTAGTAATTTAGTTTTATTTATAAATTATGAATTATTACTCAGTAGTATTTTTATTTTCTATCGTTATAACATTTTGGCTTTAAGTGACTCCTGAATAAATTCATGATTGTTGTAAGTAAAATGCAATTTTCAAAATTTTGAGTTATAACATGTATCATGGAAAGTTATTATATCATGTATCTGATATCATTCAGTTTTATATTTAAAATACAATAAAATCATATCAAATTATTGAAAATAATCAATACTATAACATATCCAAACTTGCATGGTCACTAAAGGTAAAATTAATAGTTTTGATGGCAAAAATCCACTGGAAATGGACATTATACACTAGGAAAATTGACTTTCAAAAAAGTAAAATGCACATAAAAAATACCTTTTTTATAGAAATAAATTTGCTTGAACTATTTTTAGTGGAATCACTAATGGATTTATGGCAAAAATGCACTCTCATAAATGACGGTTCCATGTTATTGTTTCCGACGGTATTTCCACTGGCTTTTTTGACTGAATATGGATGTCAGAATTACTGGTGATCAAGCTCTCAGTTATTTTCGCTGAGATAATTGGTGGGTCTTATCGATGTAATAGCTATCAAAATTTCTAGTGGAACTATTTCATAAAAAATATTATAACTATTCGTCGTATCATCGTTACCAATGGATAATCCATCAAAAATCCATTAAAATTCTATACCATAAATAAAAAATAGTCATTCCTCTTAAATATTATACAAAACAACAATTCTATAAAATATACATATATCATACTCATATTTCAGCTTCAAACATAAAGACTAATGTTATATGAAATAAGACATTTGATCCTAAAAAAATATTATGTAATTAGCAAATAGTTCTAAAATAAATATAAAATTTATTACACAATAAAAATAGACCATAAAATGTACAAAAACATAATAATAAAATATCCAGTAATAATAAAAAGTTTAATCATAATTTGTTTTGTAATTCTCCTCCTATGTCGATGCTAGCTATTTTCCTTTGTGCTACTCTCTCATTCTCTATAACTCCTCCAATATTTGACTTTGCTGCATATGCATCTGCATTTGTATGTTAGCTTGTGATTTTCAAACTTAATTTGGCTTTGATATAAGGGTAACCACATGTTGGCTATACAAAGTATCTTGGTTGCATGCTGAGAAGCTGGAACAACCAGAGGTTTATGTGTAAGCTTGCGAGCCAAATCCATAAACCCATCCTTCATGCATTCCAACTACCACTTGCAACCAAGTGCGGTAGTCAGAATAATCTGTAGATCCCCCAAAGGAACCCTCACCTGCTCTAGTCTAGCTCTCTCAAAGTTGTGTATACTTTTCTTATAAAAGTTAATACAATATTAATCAATTTACACATGACACTTAAAATATTAAACTTGTATACTCATGTAAGCTCTCCTTGCTCACTCATGAACTCATTATTGAGATCCTCATGCCGCTTGTGGGTATGACTATGCAACTCAATAGAGGTCGATTCTCTAACCAC